TTTGTTCATTTTCTAATGATATCTTCTCTTCTTTAATTGCCATGTGCATTGCTAACAGCGGAGCTATCTCAGCCGACAGGCTGCTTGTTTTTTAACTTGACTGTGTTTTTACCCCTTGATTAATATCATTATTTTCCCCACATTTACCAGCCCCCGATTTCAAATGAGCTACCCCTTAGTTTATAATCCAACCAATATGGTGTGTTGTGGATTAAAACTTGTATTTGGATATTAAAAAATAAAGCACATGTGATATGCAAATTATCCCGAATGTGCAAACTGAGAGAGATTAGATACACAGCAATCTAGACTTTCCCCAAGTTTTATGAGTTTACTAGTAGTGCTGCCAAAGGTTATTACAGTTCATAGAAGCATAATGTCAGTTCTCACATATACAATCTATTGTGTATTTGAAGAGGAGGCATAGTTGACATTCTTGACCTTTTGAGCTATGTGATGTCATTACCTATTAACCAATCACTGATGGACAGTTTTATCCAAGGGAGTGAGAGCATTGGAATTTAAACTAGATTTTGAAAACTTATAAATAAAGTTGACATTTTTGAATGTTCCAATTTTAACTGGAAATTATATGGCCTCATAGGAAGTTATTTGGAGATAAGTCTTTCTCAGTATTTGTTTATCTCATGTTAACTTTCCTGTGAGTCACATCAAACAGAAGCTGTGTTGTACATTGTATTTTATTAAGTAGACCACAGAGAATTAACTGAATATACTGCAGGTGGTCAACCTTACAGAATTCATTCTAAATGAAAACCATACATGATAGTTAGATCACTACTGTAAACAGATTTAATTTTGTAGAGCAATAATTTCAAAATTGTGGAGCATTGGATAATTCGCTGGGAACATTAGTTGGTCTTATTGAATTTTTCCTCATTAATGAATTTATTGCTTATAAATATATTGTGATGATTCTGAATTGTTATTGCACATATTTATTTATATTCTGTTGTGTGTTACAAACAACCTAGTATATTAAAAAAAAAAAATAATAATGGTCAAGCTTGTGTATATTATGGTTTTAATGAATATTTAATCTTAGTTCTTGGCATTGTCATATTCCCACTGCGTTTCAAGATGTTGACACCTGTTCTTGTTGAATATTATGGTAAATCATGCTACTTTTTCTTGAATTGATAGATTCGGGTGACATTGTTGATGGTCGTATGAAACTCATACTTGGATTAGTATGGACTCTTATCTTGCATTACTCCATCTCCATGCCGATGTGGGAGGATGAAGGAGAGGGAATAGAACAGAAAGGAAGAGCACCAACACCTAAAGAGCGACTGATGGGATGGATCAATTCTAAACTTCCAGACAATCCAATTAGGAATTTCACAACCGATTGGAACTCTGGTAAAGCTATTGGTGCTTTAGTTGATGCTGTAGCTCCAGGTAGGTGAAAGATCAACAAAGTCTGAATAAATTCTCATTTCTGTGGATTGATCACTGCATTTCGGTACATTCATTGCTTGATTTGATCTCTTGTCTTTCATAGTCTTGCAAAATTTATTTTCTATATTCGTGATATGTTTTAGTACTGTAAGTTTTTGTTGTTCTGAATGTTTTGTTTTTGTTATTGTTATTTTTGGACTTCACTCAAGTTTTCATTAGTACATTCCAAATAAAACATTCTATCTATCTATCTACTAATGTGTGTGATCTTGTTAAATAATGTTTAATGGGCGAGTCATGTTAACTGATTAATTTTCACCATTACAGGCTTGTGTCCTGACTGGGAGGATTGGGATCCAGCCAATGCTTTGGATAATGCCAGAGAGGCCATGAAGGCAGCAGAAGATTGGTTAGATGTACCACAGGTAAGACTTGAGAGGGTGCTGTATAAGTCCAGCATGCATTGCACACAACCATGAGTTCAAAAAAAGATGGATAATAAAGAGATATGAAAACTTTCACAACCCCCTTGCATGCATATGTATAGAATAATTACATTATGCAATGCTTTCTGTGCGAGTCCCACATGTGCCAATCACATTTGTTCTTGACACCTCTGAGTGAAAAATTATGGAAACAGAAATCTAGGTTTAAATCAGATATGCAATCCGTTACACGATCTTCATCACATTTATTAATTTTATGACAAGAATTTCAATCTACCTAACTTCTTCTGTACTGTGATCACATTGCTTTCAGCTGATACAGATTCCATTTTTTACCATCTCCTATATAATCCTGCAATTTCTTGACTGAGATTAAATTACTCCCAACTCTATAATGTTGAGGTTTAACTATTTTGAAGACATATAGAATTTATTTTTCATAGCCTTCCCTTCACATAGTAAGCTATAATTATTAGAAGACCACAGCTATGTTGTGTATATTCAAATTATGTATATAAACAGTGTTTAAGTACATCACTTATGGGACGATATCCAACACTATATTTTATGTTTGGGATTTATTGCTCAACGCAGCATGATGACTAATGTTTTAAGTTATTTAATAAATGACAAGTATTCATTCCTTGCCAAAGTACATGTAACCTACATTCTCTTTAGCGATTTTAAGTGGGTTCTGTTATAATGTGGTGTCAGTTTCTGTTAATATATTCAAACTGTTAATACAACTTAATATTCAAGCTAGATATAGAAATGGGAACATTGTGATTGGAATTTAGCAATATAGATTAAGGGTGTTGCCCTATAAACATTAATATTCTACAATATCATATGTACATTTTTGGCAAGTTTAAATTAAATGCCAATTGCAGAAATCCTCATTAATAGCGTGTTTGTACCTCAGAACTTACCAAGATGTATTGACCTTTAGGGGTAATGCACAACAAACTAAGATCCTACAAGTGCAGAGAAGGTTAACCCTTATGGTAATCCAGATGTGTTGAGGTCAGGTGAACCCAGTAACTCAAATATGTGTTTATTTGAAGGACATTTTAGAACTAAACTAAGGGTACTGCTAGACATTAATTTGTGTTGTTTTTCTTGTTTGGTTACTAATGAATCAATTCACTGGAAGTCAAGTTAACATCTATTCTTTAGAGCAGAGGAATGAGTAGAAACAGAGGATATCTCCTGACTTTGAAGTGTGTATGGGCAAATAAGGACAGAATAGAAAGTGGATGGATAACCTTTCAATTAAAGTTCAATTAAACTGTCCTACATGCAACAATTAGAAGATCAGCTTGTGTAATAATTAAAGAATCTGCTCTCGTGGACATATATGGAAATAAGTCATCTAAAATATGTTCCAGATTAAATATTTCTATATCAGCTGTTGAATCAATTAATGTTAATAATGGTAGATGTCTTAATTTGTATGCTTGCAGGACGGGAGAAAAACATGTGAAAACTAAAATAGTGAGGTTCAAAATCTTTTTTTGCGGTACCAGTAAAAGTGTTATGTAACACTCGTGTAAAATATTTGTGAACACAAAACTGGGTTACACACTATTGACTACTGGCCACAGTCATTGTATTTGAGTGCAATGGTCAATTTTAATTCATTTCAAATTTCAGAATAATTGTATAGAATTTAATTATGTAAATATTGTTTGTTCTACAATCTTTATGAAGTCTATGCTGCCTTGGTATTGAAATAATATGATTATGATAATAATATTTATATACACAACACTGAAATGGGAAAGTACAGCAGTATGGTTTTAAAAAAAAGATAAATTGCACAGTAAAAGTAAATAAGTAAAATGATAAAAAGCAGTCATAAAGTAAATACTGATTTATGAATTGGTAGGTGTCGCTGTCTGACTCTGAAGCTCTTATGTAATTTGGCTACTAGGATAGCTGGACATTAGAATTTTGAATATTTTCATAAAATTGATTTCAGACGAATGTTATTGATATGAGAGCCATTAAAAGAGTGGGGGAGGAAGGGTGTGTTTGTTATTTTTTATTTTTGCCTTCTCCTGGTTATAAATCAGGATGTGATGACAAGTAGCCAATGGATAACCTTTGTCCATACAAATATATGCGAATCATTTTGATTGGGAGAGCATATGGAAACTACTTTTAAGAAAGCACTGAATTGTTTTGATGAATCTAGATGGCTTATTTTTACTTGCATGTATGTCTACATACTGATAGATAGGATGTCTGGCCTGCCTGAGAGTGCCTCTCTGATTACTGACATGTGTTTGACTGCTATCAGGAATAGCTAGTAATCTATTACTAGTAATCTATCATGCAACTTGCCAGCCCTCTTTATATATCCCTCTTTTGTATTTCAAAAGGGGAGGGGGGGCAACTTACTTTCTTTAATATTACATACTTCTGTTTTCTGTGATGACACTCCAATTCTCATAAATGAAGGGAAAGGTATTCACTAAAAAAATATTCTTCATTGTTGTCATCACATTGGTGGATGGGTAGAACTTAACTATATTGAATATGATGTACAGTAAAGCTATACTGTAATTTCCATTTATTTTGACTTAAAGATAGGATTATCATTTAAACCCCTCCAATAGTATTGACTTTTATCTCTGATGAGGTTAAGCTCCAACTTTTAATGATTTGGTTTCAAGTTAAGTATTATGGAAAACGAAACCTGAGATCAGTCTTTCTTGGTGTAATTATTTGGTGCTGAATATAATGCCTTGTATGTCAGTGAGGTATTTAGTGGTATTATATGATGCCATGGATAATACTGAAATTGTATATTTCCTGATCATGTGACTCTTGTAAAGGGGATTCAAGGATATTTGAGTATTGAGTGCAAACAAGCTGCTTATTTTCTGACCATCACAAAGCTAAAGATTTGGAGAAAAACTCATCTTAAAAACACAGCTTCACTTGTGTTGAATTGCGCAATATTGGAGATACAGTTGTGCATTACATTAGAATGGTGTCATGTCAAGTGAAAGTTGGAACATGGACATTTAAAGGGCGGCAGTCGTCGCGCCACTCATGTGCGATATTTTTGTTGATAAACATTGATTTTCCCACTATCCAATGCGCTCTTCTAATGGAAATCACAAGTATGAGGTCTGAACTGGGCGCGACTTGCATTAATTTCCTCGGGTGACTCCTTCCGTACCTTCCACTCACCTAAAAAATAATCTAATTAAAGCTTGGTAATGTCTCAGTTTGAACTCGTTGATCTGCGCAACAGCCAAAGTCGCCATCTTTGTTTATATGAGACCCATATATATCGCGCATGCATGCCCTTTAAGGAGATGGTTTTTCACCAGCTAGATAAGTTTAAAATACTCATATAGATCTCTCCAAATTGATTTAATCTCAAGCACAATTATGTCCTACCTCTGGTCTATTTTGACCCTACTCAAATACTAATCTCAGACTAATTGTCTCCCTGTCAGGCAGGCATATCTTATCAATTGAAAATGATAATAAAGCCTTTTTGGCATTGTGGGTAATAATTTAAAGCCAAATCTGCACCTGTATATTTTAATTTGGTTTGTGAATATAATTGACTTGCACACAATTTTGGAAATTGCATTAATATTCAGAAAAAGTTGTTTATTATATTATTATTATTATTATTATTTAGACCGATAATATCTATTTAATTCTCAATGCAATGGTACCGGTACATGAAATCATCTGCTTTAAAGTTGACAGGAAAACAAACTTTTCAATTTGTTGCTAGAGGAAAACAAACTTTTCAATTCGTTACTAGAGGAAAACAAATTTGGACAAACTTGTCTCCACAATTGTTTGTTGGAAATTTTGTTGCTCTCAGAATTAATGTCCATTCTTCCATGAAAGCTCATATAGACACCGTTTCTGGCCTCTTCTATGGTATGTTATAATGAAATTTTTTAATAAATTATGGGTAAAAAAAATGTACAAGTTTTACCTTATGAGAGGTGACAAAAGTAGAATTAAATGTATCATTTTTTTTCTTACAATACATGAAATAAGGTGAGTTGCACCATGGGAGTAAAATGACTGCAATCTTTTATGGTGGTGTTAACCTTAGAGCTAAATAGAATTTGGCATTAATTCATTCAGAGCATTTATGTAGTCAGATGTTGTTAAACTTACAAACTGAAAAAAAAGTCAACTGTTTTCTTGGCATTCAACATAACAACTGTTTTCTTCAAGTTGAACTTGAGAATGAAGCTATAACAGTACACTGCATGAGGTTGAGCATTGTTTGCTGGTAATTTATTTTTATCTAAGACGATCTACTTCTCACAACAATTTGTAAATATTTAAACAGACAAACAAACAAATATTGTTACTTTTGAGTGGTATTTTGTTGCCTGGTTAACCATGCCCTACACTTCACCTTGTTTGCTGTCTCAAGTTTCCTTTGTGCACTTAACCACCAATCTAAATATTTATGTCATAGTCACTCTCACTAAAATGACAGTTACTTCTCCAGGTCAACTCTGCCATAGCCAGCTGTTTAGAATATATTATAGAAGTTGACAGTTGCCCATATTTGGTATGCTGTATTTAGGGTTGAAGCAATAATTCTGGGGGAGGGTGTTACAAAAAGAATTCAAAAATGTTAAGAATTAAAATGAAATCGACTTGTTTTCCCTGTTCTCTAAGAATTAAAATAAGTTCTAGTGAGGTAGACAAATAATTTGTATCGTGCAAGAAAAATAAATTATGCAACAGTTGCATCAACTAATGTGTTCGTTCACAGAGGTTAAAAAAACATTGCATAGTGCATGGTGGTAAAGTCCAGTGAACAACTCAAATGGTATCTTGTTGGAATGATGGAAGTATTCACAGCACATCAATAAAATGGAATGGTTTCTTTATTTGTTGTTTCACCTGCTCTGCTATATTACTTATCAAATTACTGCCCTTAGCAACCACTCGTTACTCTGGTACTCAGATTAGCTTCAACAGAATTATAAATTTCTTTGATTATTTAATTAAATTTTCTCAAAAATGGTTTGTGCAGTTTTTTGTCAGAATAATATTAATAATTTAAATATAAATTTCTGTCTTAATTTTAGACCAATCTGGCAGAATTTGTAAAGGTCCCATTATCAAACAGTGTCCCAACTTTTCTAAAATAATAAGAACACATTCTATGAAAAGCCTAGTCAGCAGGTTTGACTTGAGTGTCTCTGCTAGTGTGTGGGCCTCTCTAGGCCAGTAACTGAGACATGTTGGGCAGTATCAGATTACTCCAGTCACATGGCTTACCTAACTGAACAACACTTTCTCTGTTTAAAGGCCAGCTAAAAAAACACTAAATAGACTACTGTATTCTTTTCTCTACAGGTATACTATATCACATGTTATGGAACATTATACGTAATTGACAGGGCCCTCTCAATCTCAATATTCGATGAACAAAACAATGTTGACCTATGACCCAGTCACTCAATATCTCTTTCATAATTTTATTTGGTAGTCTTTAAATCAGCCTTTTACTTGAAGGGTTCTTTAATTCATGATGTCTGTCTGAACTATTTTTTTTGCAAATTGTTGCATATTTTCGTACATTTGTTCTATATGTGTACTTGCCTTCACTGCAAGGTATGATGCAGTTTTGGTACATATGATGTGCGTTTTCATCAAAACCTATAGCCAATGTGGCATTTACAAAGAAAATATGAAGAAATACATACAAAATAGGAAAACGATGAAAATAGTGACTTTCAAATAATTAAATGTATTATAAAATGTAAAGCAGGAAAAAAACTTATTAGTGAAGTATTTACTATGTGAAATAAACATTTAATACTTTGCTTTTATGTACTCGTGTTGAAATATTACTTGGCATAATGTACATTAGCAGTTCAGAAAACTGACCTGTCAGTAATCAATTTGGTATGTTTGCAGCTAAACTAAAAATATAGATGTGATGATTTGTGAAACAAAAACAAAAAGTCAAAGTTTCTATTTATTAGTTTCCCAGGCATGAATTATTTGACAGCGTATGTTTTATGTGCTGACAGTGAGAGTGTATTTATCCAGCTTTGTGCTGTAGTATACAACTATAGATTTATTCTGATGTCAATCCTTTGCCTAATTTAAGAGAAAAATATATGAAATGTATATGGTTATGAAATTCAATTGTGTAAATAGTTTCAGAGAGGAAATGCATCCGTAGAGCCACACTCTGATGGTGCTTTCATTCCCATTTCATTAATTTTCACCACTGCCACATCACAATTTGCATATCATAGCATTGAGCAATAATCAAAGATGTTCTGAAGTCTATTTTAGCCTAACATTACACATGTAAATATTGGAATACCTCCAATTTGGAAAAAGTAGGTCCATGAATTCTCACATGATAGTGACATATATATAGTCTAAACAAACTGTTTGTTGTATATAGTCTAAACAACCATAAATAGATGTATGCGTATAATTTTTATTTAGATGAAACATGTCAAATGACAACATTTTTTATGCAAATTTAAAATGTTAAATTCTGGTGTGGCAATAGTGAAAGAAGCTGTTTGGCGAGAAGGCCAAACCATCTAGAGATTTAATATATTTGAATTGTATATTTCTTCTAAGGCATATTTCATAAATCAGGAGTTGGTCTCTCCATTTCATGCTTTTTTTTTCCCCTTAACATTTTTTTTCTTGATTCTAATCACCCACCCTCACCCTCACCTGCAGACATAATGATATGCCCCTTAATAACAAGTTATCTTTGGCACTGTAGGAATGTGAAACATCTCACAATTGTCAAATATTTAACAGATTATCATCTCAGTAAATCGTTTATCAAGAATGGTTTACAAATTGTTATCGTTTTTACCTGATAAATTATTATCATTCATATATATATTTTTGGCTAAAAATTGCCTCTCGTAATCAAATATAAGGAAGGAATTATGTTTTATGGATTACCCACCCACCCACCAACCAACCAAAGTCAAATGTGTGTATTTTCATACAGTCTGTGAAGAGATACTATATACATATTATTTATGTACATTGTTTTGTTTCATTCATAGGTGATGCGACCAGAAGATATGGTAAACCCTAAAGTAGATGATCTCAGTATGATGACTTATTTGTCCAAATTTCCAAGTGCTAAACTCAAACCAAATGCTCCACTACGACCACGCTCTAATGCAAAGAAGGTATCTGTAAACTTTTGTGTGAACCATAAACTATCACATAATTTGGTGCATAAAACTATTTTTATATAGTTGAATTAATAAAAACAAAAGACCATTTTGTAGCTGAGTTAGCCACTAGATGGCGCTCGTCAAACTTCTTTAGTAGTAAATATGACGGCACAAGCAAGTTTGTCGCATGTGTTGCTTAGGTTACTTTGTAATGTCTGAGATTTTTCAAGCATTGTCAAATTTTTAATTTTTTTTTTGTAGGTGCGTGCCTATGGACCTGGTATTGAACCAGAAGGTAATGCCGTTTCCAAGCCTACTCATTTTACTATTGAGACGTTCAGCGCAGGCCATGGTAAAGTTGAAGTGGATATTGAGAATCCTAATGGACAGAAAGAAGATTGTCAAGTGACATTTAATAATGATAAGAATAGAACTTATACCGTTGTGTACACTCCTAAAATGTCTGGAAAGTACAAGGTGTGTTTAGTAAACAAATACTGTTGTCCTAACTCTGTAGTAGCTCCACCACAGAGCATTTAGCATACCATGTTCTCAGTTTTATTTCAGTGTTTTTAAGACAGTTCTGATGTCTTTTTTACCGTTGTTCTTATGAAAACAACATGTAGTTTAAAATAAAGCTTCTTTCAAGAATGCTCTACATGCACATGTATGTATATTCACATTATGAATATTCGTTATATTTATTTATACTTTTATGTATTACCGGTACAAGAACAACTTTAGTTGAGAAGGCAAAAAGCCCAGAAATTTTTCTGCTTTAAAAATGTTGCTGTAGTTCTACATTGACTGATATCGTGATCATTGCTGTTCACAGTAGATGTACATTAAACAAATTATAACTGATTTGACTTGCAGATAATAATACATTACAGTAAGACCCAAATACCCAAGAGTCCTTTTATAGTGAACATTACTGATGTTCCTGGAGATGCTAAAAAATGCAGTGCTAAGGGGCCAGGTCTACAACCTGTTGGTTTGATTGTAGGACAACAAACATACTTTGAAATTTTTACTGCTGGTAAGTAATATTATTATTATATCTGATGCTATAATCTATCATGTATGTACCGTACTCGACCGCGTTAGCGCCCAGGGGCCTCAACTCAGAAAATCACGATTTTTTAGGGGTGGGCGCTTACCCGAGCACCCCCCTCGAAAAAGAGTGTAAATGAAAAATTTGATTCATCAAGTGACAGATTACGTCTTTGAGGGAAATCAAATTACGAAATTAGTTGAGTCGTCATTGATTTTCACAACGAAGAAACAGATATGATCACAAAAAATATGCACATTTTATTACAATATTAATTACGTACCACCAGAATTTACGAAATTAAAAACATTTGAGTCTGTTGGAACACAGTCGTAGTCAAAATTGTCATATCATCTCCACTGACGAAGGTGTTGGATCATACGCA